AATGTTGTTTTGGGGAAGCTATCATTTTATCTATCGCTAGGCAACATTGGAGCTAAGATTATAATTTCACCTAACATTTCATTTCTGTTGACGTCACTCTAGAGTGACATCAACAAGGTGAGACCTCACAAGACACACGGTGAAATCACACAAGAGCTCTTGCCATCAACTGTCAAAACGAAGTGCAAGTTTTTGCACTTTTTTTAACTAAATTTGTTTCAAATTTTAATTTTTTATGTTATAGAGATGTTTATGTTATTCAAAGTGTTTACTGCAATTTTCCATCTGTTCAAATCTTTCATAAATTGCAGTATCTAAAACTACAAAAAAGAAACTAAAAAAAAATTGCATACTTTAAAGGTTCATCTTTATAGTAAAATTGTTTTTTGATCTTTCTTGGCTTGACCACAACTTCACCAGAGAACTTTAGATCGATGCAGGGCCGTCTAGATAAGATCTTTAAGATATTTTCGGGACAGCCCTGGATTAATGTCCAGTTTTTCTACCAGTTCCATGGTATTTATAATAACACTATACAGCCCATTTTTTGATCTCATGTTCTCCAAGAAAGTCTCGACACTTTCAATTGTTTCAAAGCGCTCCGCAGATTATCAGGTTTCATCTTTAGTGTTTTGCTTACTAAATTAAATTTGAACCAGACATCATACCGAGAGACCAAAGAGCAGAAGAATTTGAAACCTGTACATTTTCCAAAAGCATCAATCTTAAAATCTTTTGATTATACAGCGTCATAAACCTCATTAACCTCATAATCGCAAAGAATTAAGGGTGTCTATCCTGGTCTCCCAACGGGTTTTTATTTGGAGGATTAATAGTCAAATTGTCTACATAACTTGTTAATGTACTCTATTTAAGGGGTGGATCCAAAAAAAAGTTATAAATCTCCTGAATATTGCTGAACAAATTAACAGCTAGAGTGCAGGAAAATTCTGCATAATTGACAACAAGTTTTAGTGAATGGCTTTAACAAGAAGCAAAATAAGCTCGTGGGTCAAGGTCATCTTTTTTTGTACACCTACGTTCTTTCCCTTTATGTTTGATCTATTATAAAACTTTTTCCATGGATATTTTTTTAGGATGCTTCTTTTTTTAAAAGCTCGTCTAACATGCAAGCTGTCAACCCTTGCCTAGATGTTTCAGAGACATGAACAAAGCCAAGAAAATGTCCCCTTACCTTTTCTTCTTCTCCTGCAACTGCATACACAAATCAAACTGTATTTTTTGTTCTTTACAAATTACGTCAGGAGTTCAGTCAAGATTTATAGAATAATAAAAAGTTTTCTGCAGTTCACACAAGATAACCTAAATAGAAAAATTTAATCAATGTTTTTTTTTATCCTCTCTCTCCATTTCAGATTTGCGTTTTCTATAAAAAAAAAACCCAAAGGTTTCTTTTTTTACCGCCATGATGACTCAACGACTTATTCTTTTAAAAAAAATTTTTTTTATTTTTTTTTTTATTTTTTTAGGTGCCCCAAGAAGTCCTTGCGGTCTTATCACAGAGCACCGCAGATGAGCATTTAATAGGAAGTTCGAGCCTCCTTTTCAACCGATGTCGCGAAACTTGCCCACAGGTGGGGTTTGAACCACGGATCTTGCAAGTGCCCTACCACTGCGCCACGGCTGCTCTAAATATTATAAATAACTATTTTAGTTTATTAGTTTATTTCGCCGTTAAAAGTATTTACAAAGTACAACAATATAAAAAGTACAATTGGCTGGAGCAAGAAGAAGGCATAAAATAGCCTTATCACCGAGCCCCAATAGTAACGCAAATAAATATCCGTAATATACAATAATCCGTAATATATAAGCAAAAGTATTTTAAAAAAGACAATTTAAAATGTTAAGAAACAAAGTTAAAAAGGAAAAAAAAAAAAAAGTATTAAAATAATTGAAGAAAAAATAAAAAAAATAAAAAGAAATAATTAAAATATAGTAATAAAAATGACAAAAATTTTCTGTTTTTGGTTATAAAATGGATGTGATTCGACATATATATTTGTATATATGTCGTATATATTTGTATATATGTTATATATATGTTTTTCTTGATGAAAACATTACATGGAAAGCGCATATTGACTATATTAGCACAAAAATTTCTAAAAGCATTGGAATTTTATATAAATCGAGAACATACCTATGTAAAAAGATTTAACCCAACTATACTACACATTTATTCATACCAATTTAAATTATGCAAATATTGCTTGGGGAAGCACAGAAAAAAGCAAATTACAATGTCTTTACCGCCGTCAGAAGCATGCGATCCGTTTAAATAATTTTGCGGATCGATACACTCATTCCAAACCTTTTTTTATTGAAATGAAAATTCTTAATATTTACGAACTTAATGTGTTTAATGTTTTATGCTTTATGTATTTGTGGAAAAATGACTTATCCCTACCTATCTTTAAAGTTCTCTTTTGTGAAAAACCAATAAACAAATATACTCTTAGAAATAATAAATTTTTGCATAAACCTTTTTGTCGAACAAAGTTTAACCAGCATGGTATTGCTTATCGTGCGCCATATCTTTGGAATAAAGTTGTTTTGCCAAATTTTGATATATTTTACACTTTTCCAATTTTCAAACATAAACTCAAAAATTTAATTTTATTTTCCGATGACATAATAAGGTTCTTCTAATTGTAATTATTTGCCTTTATTTTGAACTTTTTAATTGTAAAATACATTTTATGTTAATTGTAAAATACGTTATATGTAACGACTCTTTTTGTTTTACTTTTCTTTTTGTTTTACTTTTTATGTAACGACTCTTTTTGTTTTACTTTTTATCTTTTTGTTTTACTTTTTACTTTTACTGTTTATTTTATAAATAGATTATATACACAAATAGATTATATACATAAATAGATTATATACATATACATTATATACAATGTAAATAATTATGCTAAATGCTTGTAAAAGGTTCTGATGATAACATCAGTACGATCTTCTTTCAGAAACCTTGTTTGTATTTGTTAAAGTATTGTATTACGACAAATGTAAACTTAAAATGTAAAAAAAAAAATAAAAAAAATAAAATATTATTTTCTTTTAAAATAATTCAAAATTCAAATAAAAATTCTGTTCCAATATTATAAAATATATCAAGAAAATTGTAGGTAACTTTAAGAGAATATATATATTCAATGAAAGTATAATAAAGACATTGAAATTCTTAATATTGTTAAATGGTCTAGATTTTTAAATTTATGGTGCTAATTTAGTTTAATAAATTTTAAAGCTTTAAAAGTGACATAGAAGATCTGCTATATTAAAATCCGTAAGTACTAAATAACGTCTTTATTTAGATTTGAATTGCGGAAGTGTTTTTTCTTTAATATTAACAATATGCTGAAAGTTTTTCCACAAAATTGGACCCCTGTACTGAATAGAATAAGAACTTAACTTTAGATTATACTTTTGAGTTACAAAGTTATTTTCTGAGAACTTGATGGGGTATTTATGGCTTACTTCTCTAAAATAAGTATAGAATATCGCTGGAGACAGTCCATGTTTTATTTGATACATGAACTGTATGATGAGGAATATGTTAATTTTAAACACATTTAATGCATTGAGTTTACGTAAAAGTGGCTCACAAGGCACAGTTCTTTTTACTCCAAATACAATTCTACATGCATGTTTTTGTTTAGTATAAATTTTCTTTAACTTAGCGTAGCTGTTGCTTGCCCATACGATATTGCCGTAAGTTAGATAGCTATGTATGAAGGAAAAATATAAACTTTTTAGAGATCTTATATCCAAAAATGGTTTTGCTTTATACATCATTGCAATGTTTATTGAAAGTTTTCTTTCAAGAGTGTTTATGTTTCCTCCATGTTAAATTTTTGTCTAAAATAATATTTAAAAAGTTTACAGTTGTTTGCCTAGTAATATTTATATTATTGATCTTAAGATTAGGTAATTTTAAAGGAAGGTTTCCTGTTTTGGTTGGTTTGTGAAATAGAATAAATTTAGTTTAGTTAACGTTAAGTGAAAGTTTATTACAAATAAACCATTCATTTACGTTGTTTACTTCTTCATTAACTACTTTAAAGAGGGTTTTAATATCCCTATGAGAATAAAACAGATTGGAGTCATCAGCAAACAAAATAAAGTTTAGTATGTTCGAGGTAAGAGATAGATCATTTATATAAAAAGAAAACAGTAACGGTCCTAAGATTGAGCCTTGAGGAACTCCACATTTTATTATACTTTTTGTCGTTTTAACTAACTACTGTAATTATTTTCTTAATTGAAGTGCAGAAGCGAATACATACAAAAAACACAAAATAGTTTAAATTAAAACTTTGGCGCCCAATAATGTGAGTTTACAATTAAATAAACATTTAAAAAGATTTAAATAAAAACTGAAAAAAAGTTGACTACTTCAGCGCGACGCCTTATGCGACCGCATAACTCGCATAGCCCTTGCACCGGTCCTGGGTACACAACACTATTAATTCTACATATCAAGAATATATCAACACTATCAGTTCTACATAACAAGAACTGGTTCATCGAGTGCTTTTTACAAGTCAGCTATAACATGCTGACTTTTGGAAATAGAGCCAGAGAATTCTTCAAAGCACTTATTGCTTTTGAGTGTATTTCAGTTTTTTCTGTTTTTGTAGGAACTTTCAATCCACACAAACCTCAAATTAGATTAGAATATTAGAGTTTTTTAGAGTTAATACAAAATTATTTAAAGGTTCTAGATAATTTTGCTACCATTTTGGATGTTTAGGTGTAGTGTACATATTAATAAGATTTTAATATACACTGCAGTTTTTTAACAATCAGCACCTATAACAAAAGCTTAACGGTCATTTAATAATTTTAATAACCTTTTTAACCTTGTTTTGATATACAACAAACATTAAACGTACATTTTTGTTGTTTTACTTTTAAAAAACGCGTAAAAATTTAGCTATGCCAGTGAATTTAAAAAAAAAAATAAGAAATTGGTTTCAAATTATAAATATCTAACAATAGAATTCCTTTCCTACTAAAAATAAGATTATTTAAAAATCTGAGTGAAATAAAATTACAACATGAGGAGAAAAACATATTACAATACATTATAAATTATTCGATTTTGCTGTTTGCTTTAAGGGCCTGGATAGAACTTCTTTTTGCTTCATCTATTCTTTTAGCCATTGATTGGGCCATCGAGTTTATAATCGATATAATAAAATAAATAATCATAAAAGTCACTAATTTTTCGAAGATAAAACCGAGAATATTGGTTCCCTAAAACAAAGCAAACGAAAAGTAAAAAAAAAAAGTCTAAAAAAAGTCAAGAACTAAAAAAGCTAGAAATTAATTAAACAATAAAAAAAAACTTCAAAAAAATTAACCTGAACCGCATTGGACGCTTTCGATTGGTGCAGTTTGCTAATTTGAGCTTGAACCGCTCTTTGAAATGGTGCCTGAACGTACACTCCGATATAAGGTATATTGCTAAATAAGTGTTTAAGTAACTGGTAAATGTAACTTCTCAGAAACAAAATATAACACCCCATTGAAAAAAACAAACAAACATAACCATAACAATCACAATTAACACAACATAACCATGATAAAACAAAAAAACATGAAAAAATATTAACAGCTTCAAAAATAGTGTTTTCTCAAGTGTTCTTGAGAAAACACTATTTAAGTAGTGAGCTATTTTGGATGAAATTTCACTCTACAAGCAAAAAGGTTTTTTCATCATTTTAATTTTTTAAACAAGTTAGTTTTTCCATTTTTTAAAATTACTAATAAAACCAAATAAATATTTTTAGAACTAATTAATAATGAGTAGTGTGGCTAAGATTTCTCCTTGTTGTATTGGTAATTAAAGCATTAAACGAACAGTGCTTATCATATTTAACAAGTCTAAAAAAAGTTAATGTTATAAAAAGCTGTCTAAACTAAACCAAAAGCTTCTTTCTTTGAGAAGAAAAGTAAACCCCATAGATTTTATTTGTAACTACATGAGAAAGTTTATTTGTCGAGGTGCGAGAATGAACATTGAAGCTATTGTTGTAATCCTTTGAAAAAACTTTTGGTTTAATACCTGATCAAAAAATTTTCACTAGTTGCAGAAAAACACATCATTGCAAACATCATAATACAAACTAAATTGAACTCCAGGCAAAAGTAATTTATGTTAAAAACCTAACATTAAAAGATATTAATTTAAGTATTGCAAGTTTTGGTTGCTCACCTTTCAAACTTTTTTCAAAAATATATAACAAAAAAAAAAAAAAAAAAAAAAAGGTGGAGTCGCACTTAAAAAGTGTAAAGTTAATAACATAAGAGCTCTTACACAAAATGCTGTAGTTAATGTGAATGCTGTTACCAATGTGGATGCTGTTGCTAATGTGCTAAGTTTAGAAATAGCTGCACTTAGTAGATTTGAATCTGATTAAACAAACGTTTGAAAAAAGCAAAGGTTTAGACAATATTATGATTCAAATTTTGAAAAAAGTCAAAATTTGACAAAACATTCTCAAAATCCAAAAAAATCACACTTCTTCTGAAACTCACTCTAGACAGTTGGTCAATAGAGAAAACTCAGAGGTGTTTTTTATTTCAAAAAGATTTGCAATACAAGCCAGAAAGTTAAGAAAATGAAGTGGAGTATTATCAAAACCTCCAAAATCACGTAGAAAACAAAGCAAAGATGTAATTACATAGGTTGTTCAATTCTATCAATGCAATGAATATTCAAGTGTTTGTCCAGGAAAGAGTTTGTGTCAGTTAAAATAGATGATATAAAGCAACCAAAAATGATTTTTTTAAGTCATTATGAAAGAACTTCATAATGAGTTAAAAAAAACAACACAATTATGTTAAAGTTGGATTTTCAAAAATTTGTGAGCTAAAACCCAAGTGGTGCATTACTGTGGGTAGTGCTTATGGTCAGCATACAGTTTGTGTTAGCCAGTACCATCAAATGTAACGCTTTTTATACAGAAAATTCCTGGAATTGCTGATTACAAAACTTTATTTATTGAAATTTATAGATTTCATGCTGCATAGCTGTGATAAATGTCCTGGAATAGAGGTTTTGTCTGATTACATTGACACTTTGTTTAGTGAAATTAGTGGAGCTAATTTCACTTTCAGTCTCTATGCATTCTAATTTAAACTTCTTTTTTTTTATTAATGGCAAAAACCCATAATTCATAATGATTAAATCCATAATTTAATCCGCTCTACCACTACACCACTCATGCGATAGTGGTGTAGATGAACTTATCGAAATGGTTTATGAACAGTTAGATAATTTAGGAGAGCATCATTTTGTATCAAAATGTTTTGACTTTTTGATACAAAATGATGGCTTACCTACTTCCAACATTTTAAAACTAATTTAAAAGAAAAACAAGTGTTAGCCCTTCTTGCATTTGCAGAAAACTATAGTTTTCAAAGGATGCAGTCCAAAGTTTTCACTGGAATAATAGCGAGACAACTTTGAACCCTTTTGTTGTTTATTTTATAAAAAATGAAAAACTTGATAGTCAAAGTCATTGTGTTATATCAGACTATCTGATTGACTATTTGATTGTGTTTGCACTAAATTTTTCTACCTGCAGAGTTTATATTAATAATTTCATTGAATATTAATTTCAAGTTACACACTGGGAACATGTGTGTAACTTGAAATTAATATGCATTTATGATGCTTAATTGTATTAGGACATATTCTTAGTATTTCAGAAGAGCATCAAGATCTTCATATTAACTTTATTAAAAAGTCTTCGTTCTGTAGCCAAATCATGTGGCTAATCAGAAATGATCTCTGTTGGGTACCCCTGATGCATGTTTTATGCAAAGTACAATCTCTTGAAGTCCAATAGAGAAGTTTTATAATATTGACTTTAAAGAAATCAATGAGATTAGTTTAATATTTGAGAAATTTAATTTTTTAAAACTTTAATAATTTTGTTTGTCTTAAAAAATTTGTTGTCTAAATAGCTAAAAAAAAAAATAAACTGTAATTTAAAGTTATATATAAACAAATATCATAAAATATTTAGTGTAATACGTTTTGTATTTAAAATATTTGAAAATTTTTCACCACTTCAATTTAAGTTGCAAAACATTTTGTTTGATTTTCATTTTAAAAAAATGTGTTATAAAGTGAGGGTAATGAGCTTTTATCTATTGGGGTTATAAGATTATAAACATAGATATTTTTTATCAATTTATTTTTTCAAGATCTTCACTTCCAACAAGGCTGCAAGCAACCACTATTAGAGTTGGAAGTTACTGAAAGAGAAAAGATGAAGTTTAGAGAGGCTTAATTAAGGGGCTTGGCGATAAGACTGAATTTGTCTTCTTCTTGCCCCAGCCGTGTATATACAGTTTTTAAAGTCTAATTTTGTAAATATTTTCTTTATGGCGAAATATATATTATATTATATTAAAGAGTGTTAATATGAACCAAAAAAATTAATGGGCACTTATTTATAATCCTAATAGATAGTCTCTAAAATTCAGGTAAATTGTTTTTAAAGTCTGAAGTTAACAAAATAAATAATTGCTTTGATTTAAATGTTATTTGTTATAAAATAAATAAAATAATCTTCCTATATTTATGAACGGTAATGTACTTGATGAGTCATCTACCCTTTATTTTTTAAGATAAACTCTTACTTCTGATCTTTCTTGAATACCATATATCAAATCCATTACAAAATTAGCATCTGCTAAGGTTGCATCTTTTTATTGTGCTTGCCACCTTAATTATGATTCTATTATTTATCTCTATAAATCTCAAATCCATTCTTGTATAGAATACTTATTTTCCTGATTCATATAATTTGCAATCTTTTAAGTTGTCAGTTGATTGTTATCTTGCTCTACAATCTTCATCTTTTCGCTTCCAGTAACTCTAATTGTGGTTCCAACTCTAATAGTGGTTGCTTGCAGCCTTGTTGGAAGTGAAGATAATAAAATAAAAATTTTTTTTTAAAATATTTATCCAGCATGTGTAGATCAACAATTAAATTTTGAGTTTTTAGGATTAAGCTCTTTAAAATCACAAAAAATTCCAAAACAAAAATATCAACTTTAGCCCGCTATTATGTAAAAAGATAAGATTTATAGGTTTGGATTAAGATATATCTTAAACATTTAAACAAGATTTACTCTTTTTCTTCTACTTTTTGATGAATTTTCAGAAAACCAATCTTTTATATAATAAACTCTTGAGATTCTTTATTTTTGTTACAAAATAATATTTTTAAACATAGCAAGACTTTTAAATCTTGCAAAGATGGTCCTAGCTGTAATGAGTATGAGCTTTTTCTAGCTTTAAACTTAGTTTTAGATATTGAATCTACTACTTCATCTGGTAATGAGTTCCATTTGTTTACAACTGCAGTTCTTTATTAGTTCTCTAACAAAACATCCTCCTCTTACTGGTAAACATGTTGAATTCTTTCCATTTTATCTATTTCACTTTTTCTAAAACAATTCCATATTACTGCACCAAAAAGGTGTGGTCACATTAATGTTTTACATTAAAGTTTACCTGATGTTTTTTTTTTTTTAATATTTAAGAGTGCTTAATCAACATTAGATGTTTATTTAATTTATTTATATTTTATTTACGTACTTTACGAATGCCCCTTGATTACTTGTTAGTTGACAAGTCCCTTTTAAAAATATTATAAGTTTTTAACAATATTTTTTCTTATTTTAAATAAGGTTATGAATCACATGAGTAAGTCAATTAGATTTTTAAAATAATCTTGTTTAAACACACTAACATAATTAACACATTTATAGATACTTTTAAAGATATCTTGACTTTTTTAACTATCAACAACATAATAAAGTTTTTTAAATATAATAATAATAAAGTTTTTTAAATATAAAAACAAACATTTTTTTATTGCAGAGTTATCTTTCATATATATTATTTTAAATATAAATTTAAACATGTCATTTTTATTATATTCCTTTATTTCATTATATCATTCATTATTTCTTTCATTTTACCTTTGCCATTGCAGATTGATTATATCTATTTAATTAAAAGGATTTTAAATTTTTACATGTGGTAGTGGAGTATTAGAGCACTCTGTGTGCAAAAAGCTTCGAGTTTGATCACCACCATGACCTTGGTTCTATTGGGCTCAGCTTGTTTCTCAGCGCAGCAGCCTTGTTTGTCAATATTAGTGTTTTGGAGCTAGAGTCGAGAAACAGTTGTAAAAAAAAAAAAGAAAAAAGAAAGGTAGTCTTTTCAACTGTAGTGGTCCCCTGTGGGGAATAAATAACCTAAAAAAGTATATATAGAAATTTTGAACATTGTGACACTTGTTATTTTCTTTTTTTCTCATTTCTTTAGTTCTATTTTTGCCCATATCTTATTTTAGTTTGTCTACTGTTGAAATATTTTTTTAAATTATGAATTAACTTTTTACCATGACAACAAGACAACAAGAAACAAATGTAAATCTTAAGAATAAATTTTAGAGTTACAAAAAAATGCAAAATTATTAAAACTGCATATACATTAGACAAATACAAAAAAAGGCTTTTAATAGCGTACTGTTATGGTGACATCAAATTGTTTGTTTGTCGGAATATCAATCCCACAACCACTAGCGTTTTTAAGAAATTCTTTTGTTTCTGTGCACTGTTTGTCTGAATATCAATACCAAAATGCCTTACATTTCTGGAAAAAATTCTATTTTTAGACTCATAACGGTACGCTATTGTGTAACTGCTATTTTGTATCACTATGTTGTATTTAATATATCAAAAATTATGTTTTTTATTTTGCTTTTAATGTTACTGTAGTAATTTGTTGTAAGTTTAAGATTTTTACTAAAATGCTCTCTGAAATTACATAACACTCTTATGAGAGTTATGTAACTCATGAAAGTGCTATATGTTTTCTATGACACTACACAAAAATTACCTTGCCTATCTAAAAGCTATTTGAATGTGCATACTGGTATGGTATATAGATAATTTAAAAGAGACATAAATTTGTTAGACCTATCAGAGTAGCCAAGGGTGTATATTGATATTTCTTGATTTTAACAATGACAACTTGACATGTTTGTCATCATTTTTTTAACTTATCAGTTGTTATTTTTATCTTCTATTCAAAAAAGGGGAATTAAAGGATACCACACCATTTTTGATGACAATTTCCAATATAATCAGTTTACATAAAAAGTATTTGGGTTTAAATAAGAAGCAAAATACAAAAATCAGGTGTAAATATATAACTTGATGTAAACAGATCACAGAACATAAGATTTAACCTGATGTAAACAGATCATAAAACATATAATGATAAAAAAAAACCACAAAGTAAAAAAATGAAAACTTAATTATAAAACTTTAAAACACATGAAATTTATCAATTATAGCACAAAATATTAATTACAGAAAAAAATATCCTTTGCACCAGCACTATTTATTTGAATTTGTAAAAAAACAATAATTTACAAATTCTTTTAAAAGAAAATATATTAACTTTTTTCTAAAAAAAATTTCTTACAATCATTTTACAATTATAACTCTTTAAATCGTAATGAATTCGACTATTAATGTAAATATTGGATTATACAGTTGTTAAACTTTTTATCAAAACAAAAAATTTTTTCGTTTAATAAAAGTAGAGTGTGCAATAGTAATAGTGTATCTAGTACGAGTATTTAGAAATAACAAAGAACTATTTAAAAGAACCTCACCCTAATAAATTTAATGTCGCCTCTACATATGATTTGCTGAAGCAAAGTATCACAAAAGTTTGCTAAAATGGACAGACAGAAAAACTCAACAGTTTTTTACAAAAATATTTTAGTAAAAACTTTTTTTTATACATCTTAATGCCAGCTTTTTACCTGTATGTGCATTTTAATCACTGCTTTTCCTATTAATGTTGCTCCAAAGAAGGTCCAGAATGGAACCAAACAGTGCCCACATGTAATTCCAGCTAAGTCAAACAACGGGTTTGGAATCTTTAAAAAAATGCAATAATATTTAAATATTTAAAAAAAAGTTTAAATGCATAAAAAAATTTAAATGCAATTTATAAATGTATTTATTGAACTCTATCCATACTTTACTGTATGACAAGTATATATATATATATACAAATAGTATTGCGTACTAAGGTAAGCGATCTGACGTCATACTGAAATAGCCTGCTGCTATTGACAAATAGCCTGACTCACAGTGGAGTGCTGCTACATCGACTGAGGGTTTGAGATGGGGAAGCAATCGTTTCATTCATCATTCTTTGTTTTTTCTTCTTCTTTTTCAAAAAAAACGGTTTAGCTTAAGGTAAGCAGAAAAAGAGAGCAAATGCTTATCAAAACACGCTTTAGTAAGTGTATATATATACATACATACTTACATAAATGCATATATATATATATATATATATATATATATATATATATATATATATATATATATATATATATATATATATATATATATATATATATATATACACACACACACATATACGCACTCTTGCTTTGTATACTTTATTTTTATCTTTGTCAGGTATGTTTTAGGTTTTTTTTTTTTTAAATAGTTATAATAACCAAGTTTAAAATTTAAAAAAAAAAAAAAAAAAGTTTCTTTTATTATTTGATAGACTGCCTGTCTTAACCAAATACGCATTGATGTAGCGTCACTTCTTGTAGAAGCAGGCTATAAGATAGTTGATGTAGCGGCACTCCCTTGTAGAAGTAGGCTATAAGATAGTCTATGTAATACTCTGTGAATATTTTACAGTTAAAAAGTTAAAAAAAAAACATAAAGTATGTCTTTTAATTTGCGTTTTTGTAGTTTTTTAAAAACAATAAATTTAATTAGTTTCCTCAATTAAATTAATGTGTTCTGTTGTAATCTGTACCTAATTTTGTAAGGGTAAATGCGATTAAGTAGTTAAGAGCTATTTTTGTTACCACAAACGGTATAAATAACACCTTTACTAAAGGTGTTTATATATATATCTCTAAATATGAATACTGTAAAAATTCAATGTTCAATGTCGTTTCGCTTTCGTTTTTAAAGCAGTTTTAATTAGTTACTAGGCTTTTCTGAACTTGAAACAGCGCGTTCTCAAAATGCACGCGGTTATAAGAGGAAGATCTTTCAACCGAGTTAAAACTTTTTACCTTTAGAATTGAATTAATATTAAAATTAGTTTAGAAATATTACATAAAGAATCATATTAAGATAAATAATCATCGTTAAGATCATATTATAATAATCATCGTTATGATCATATAAGCATTGAAAATAGTTTCGCAATTTATATATAATATTTTTTATTAAAAATAAAATAAAAAGGATCACTCCTTTTAATTTTTTAAATCGTTTACATTTTGTTTGTTTTAGTTTTTCTTTTGGCTTTATTTTTTTTTAGCAGTTTTTATTGAGCATATTTTCTATTTTTTAAAAGGAAGATAGAGGTAAGGATGAGGTCTAATTATTTTTTTATGCAACAAAAAAGTTATACTAATGCAACAAAAAAGTTATACTAATTTCAATAAAATTGGTTATTACTACCATGAAATTTCTGTGATGCTATTAACTGCTTTTGCTCTTTTTTAGAAAATTTAGAAAAATAAATTGAAATTTCGTGCCACTACTGACATGTCACATGTTATTGTATGTAAAGATTAAATTTTTGTTATGAGAACTACAGTTCTTATGAAAGAAAAAGGTAAAGAGTATTGTTTGTATATAAATATTTATATTTTGTTTACTTTAAATCTTTTAAAATTTTTTTATGCCATTTTTAAAATTTTTGTTTGCACAATTCAAGTTATATGTTTATTGTTTGCATTGCTTTTTTGATAATTATGTGTATATTGTAAAATGTGCTTTATAGCACATTTTACAATATACACATAATTATTAAAATTTTATTTTTATCAATGTGTTTTTATAATAATGTAACATGTTTTTTTATTGTTTGTGTATGTGTTAATATAAGTTATATAATTGTTTTATAAAAGTGTATAAATATGTTTATATATGTTTTCAAAGTGCTGTGAATTGGTAAACGTGTTAAGCAAGATTTGTCAACCTTGCCAGCCAAGTCACTTACTGCAAAGGGTTACAAAGCAGTGTTTCGTTTCAAACTGTTACTGATTTAGGTCTAGGTGTTTTCAAGCCTTTATTAATAATTACTCTGAAAGTACATAATGTATTTTAATAACATTTTGCGTAATGTTGTTACTGATATATGCATATTATATGAACTTATGGTGAATGCTATTGTTGTTGTGATGTTGCTTTTTTGTAATCTTTTGAGTTGATATACATTTGGTTTACCTTCAAGTTGTTGTCTACTGTTAAAAATGATACATAGTTAATTTCATTATTAGACCTCACTGCATTTACTCATTCGCTAAAATTAATATTTAGATTCACTAAAAGCCTACTACTACTGATCTACTGATGTGATTTACTCTGGTAAATCACATCAGCTTTATCAGGTACAATGATTTCATTTTTTTGTATGTAATTTTTTTCTTATTTACTTATTTGTTACATTTTTTATTTATCAAATGATGTATTTATGTGGTATAGAAGAACAAAATATTGTTAAGTTTAGTGAATTTTTTAAAAATTTTTACTAATATTTTTTTCAAATAAATAATATTGAAGTTTGCTTAAAAGGGTTTTACTACGTTTTTTTTTTAATTTTTCTATATTAGGAGTTTTCGTTTTATTATTTTTAATGCAAATATCTATTTTTTATTATATTATTATTTTTTCTTTAGATCTAAATTGGAGCAGCTACAGACTATATTGCTCCCAGCACCCAGGACCACTCTGAGAGGTCCTTTAACAAATGTTGCAGTAATAATGGTATGGAATAGCCCTCTTTCAAATGGAGGGCTCATCCATACAGGGGTGCTGGGAGGCACCAAGTAAAAAATAGCAACAAAAAATTTTTTAATATATTCAATCAGTGAAGATATTAACTTTTTTAGTATTAATTTTTTTAATATTAATTTTTTTGTTGCTGTTTTTTCCTTGGTTTTTATTTTCATTAAAAAAATATGTATATTCTAAATTGTTTGTTTTTATTTTTTTAGTATTTGTTTAGATTATTATTTATAGTTTTTATTACTTTAATTTTTGATTCACAATATTACATGGCTATTATATTGCTTCGAGTATATACCATATCAGTTAATCATTTTTGAAAAAATGTACTGCAGCAATTTATTAATTATAACAAAAATCACATTTAAATTTGTAATATTTTTAAGTTATAATTTTAAACTAATTAGTTGATTTCCAGCAGATTTTATTTCTTTTGATTGTTTTGAATTTAATAATTTAGTGTTTATAGCTTTTAACTTATGTTAAGCTTTAATAAATTTAATCTTCTGATTTTAATGTTTAATAAATAATATAAAATATTGGAAAAAAGATTAAGTAATAAAAAAACAGATAATTAATCTTTGATAAACTTTGTCATGTTACTTATTATATTGTTGGCATTTCAGTGATGCTGTTAAATTTTTTTTTTCTTTAGAATTTAGAAAAATGAATTAAACTACAACTTTTGAACAGTCATTGTTTGTGAAGGTTAAATTATTTGCATGTTTTTTATACAATTTTTTTATAGAAATAGTATTAAAGTTTACTAAAAGGGGTTTACAAATACTTTACTTTTTATTTTTTGTCTTCTTTTTTTTTTGTATTAACAGTACCCTTTATCATTAAATTTTTTATTATTATTATTTTTTTATTACTATTGGTTAACTTTTTTATTTACATTATATTTATAAGTTTATTTTTTGTTTAAACATCTTTTAACGGATATATTAAAAAAAATGTTTTTATAAAAAACTCACAATATTGTTGTATAATTTGGTTTATTTTAAATGAAAATTTCCTATGTAATGTTTTAAAAATTATTCTTTGTGTGTGTGCAATTTAGAGAAGTAAAAAAAAAATCACAATCTTCAAGATTCTTTTAAGATTTTTTGTTACTACTATCAATTAAAAGTGAAGTTTAAATGGATGATATAAGGCTAGAACTGGCTATTAGTTTAGAAAATGATGGGCTAAGCAAGTTGAAAATAATTGTCGCAGAAATTCAAGAAATGGGCTGAGGCGGGATAAAATTAATAATCAACACAATGCTAGATATGCTGCATGGCAAGCCACGAATAATTTAAATCAAAATGAGGACAGTGTGATTAGGCAAGTTGAAAATAGTCGTCACAGAAATGTAAGAAATAGGCTGAGGCAGGATGAAATTAATAATCAACCAAATGCTAGATATCCTGCTAGGCAAGCAGCATGTACTTTGAACTGAAATAGGGAGAAAAAAGGGCAAGATAGATGTCACTATAATCTCCGTTCACATAATGAAGTTGCATTTTTTGGTGAAGATAGTGCTCCACCTACTTCCAGTGAAGTTATTATTTTCCCAAGAGGTCATCCTCTTAAAATATATCAAGTATGTCTGCCAAATTAGAGCCTATGGTTTGTTCTTTATTTTTTCTAAGGGGCGATACTGGTTGGCATAATCAATTGGTTTACAACCCTGAACGTGCTACATTGATTAGAAATCACGTTACATTATCTCAGTATTATAGTTATAGACTTTTAGTTGGACAATTAACTTAAACAAAAAAAATAGGTGAAGTGATTTTTAGTAACTTCAGATCACTTTGTTGTTATTTTTTTATTACTATTAGAAGGGTTAATAATAAAAGTTTTTAGGCATTAGAACTGGTACTGATTTTAGTAAGTTTGCTATATTTTTTTACTTAATGTTTTCATTAGATTTAATAGGTTTTTTTAAATTACTTTGGAGTAAAATATATTACTTAGTGATATTACTTCATTTTTTACACTTTTAGATTATGTATTGTTGTCTAGATTCTTTGTTAAATTATAATTTATTGATGTAAATAAATTTTTACTTTTATTTTTGTTAGACAACTTTTAATCGAAAAATAAAAATAAA